GACGACGAAGCTGACGCTGATGCAGTGGACGATGATGTAGATATGGGTGAGAAAGCGGAAGGTGGCGACTACGATGACGGCCATGGTGATGCTGATGATGATGATGCTGACAATGATGCTGACGATGAGGACGACGACGACGGTGATGATGATGCTGATGATGTTGGTAATAAAGAAGACGTCACTGATGACGACGATGATGAGCACAATCATTCTGACGATGATGATGACGATATAGACGACGATGATGATTATAACAACGATGCGAAAAATGATGTTGATGATGATGATGATGACGTTTTTAATAAATTTTTTCTCTGATGAAGAAACTTGGAAGCTCAGTAATTGGCCATGGCGACGCTGAAATTGGTGAGTACAGAACAGTAATCTTTCTTCTCTCACTCAAATGTTAACGAGGGAGGTGCGTGGAAAATCCCTTCCCCGCATACTGTAATAGTCTCTCTCCCCTGGCGGTTCCATGATCGACAGGGACAAGAGAGGGGGCTGGGAACGAGCCATCTTTGATAGGGTAAACGCAAAGAGCTAAAACCTGCAACGGGAGGACTGAGGGAAATTTACATGTAAGCTTTAATAATGTGTCCAGTTATACTAGAGGTCTTTACTCGTCACAGTCATCAACTTTCCCTGTTATATTAAAGCTGTGAATTGTAAAAGAATTAAGGACAAAAAACGTGGTTCTAACTGAATTCAAAACTCCATTACATGTAACTGGACTTTGCTTACATTGATTTTAAAGACTGTGAAAAAGAGATTAGAATTGGAAGTAGGCATTGATTGCACTTCCTTCAGGTCTATGATAAAATTAAGGCTATATGCTGTAAAATACACGACGAAAATATTCTGCAGATAGCAAAATAAACCGGGGAGATCCGTAATTAAAAATGAAACAATAAATTGTGTCTTCTTTTTTCGACCCAACAGCTTCCCGGAAGAGATTGCTAGTGGGGTTTCCAGTGTTGGAGGATGAGTGCGAATGTACGCTTTCCAACTATTCTTTGTGCGGCACGAGAAACCAAGCAAGATCAACTTTAAACCACGATAGATCGAGATAGACTTTATAATATTATATTAAGCTAAGGCTCAAGTTCAATCAGACTGCATGCTCTTCGCACCGCTCAAGCTTGCTTTCGCCAGCAAACATTAGTGAAGAAAAAAACGCATTCCACTTCTTTAGGGCTTAGTTAAATTCGACAAATTGGTCATCTCGTAAGAGTCTTATGATATATGTAAGTTCCAAAACAAGCCGTTTCCAAACAGCAATGAACTTGGGCCCCAAGTTCTGAAGACAGAAGGCGTAATGTTTTCTCGGACGATGAATCTATGATAATGGCCGTTTAAGAGTGAGTCCATGGGTGCATTGGGGAGGTGTGTGATACATGAAATCTCTCCGATTTCAATAAAACTTGGCCGGTTTGAGGGTCTACCCAAAACTCAAGTAATAGACTAAGTAATGATCATGGGAGCCGTGATGTAAAGGAAGAAAGATTTGCAAATTGAAGACTTCTTTTGCGTGCAGTTATAATGTTGAACTTATCAATTCGGCTGCGAAAATTAGAGCGTGACTTGGAACTTCTGAAATCTTCTTATCTAATGCCTCAAACGCTGATTTTATAGCTTAACATGTAACATAAACTGCAATAACCTTCTAATGCATGAAGATTTTTCAGAGGTTTCTGAGAAGTGTTTGTTGCCTGGATCTGAATCAACTGCACAAAAGAAATAAAGCTAAATTAAGCGTCTATCGGGCTTAGTGAAAAATAGGGAATCACATATCGCTTTCAACCCTTTACATTGGTTCAATTTAAATCTATTGCGAGCGAAACGGCTTTGATATCATTGCTCAAGCACTTTGAAACAGTGACAGATACTTTAAGTCGCGCTATTCTAGAGTTAGCCTCACCAACGTAACTATAACTTAAGTTCATTTTGTTTTCTTGTATTTATATACAGTAGCAGGCCTTAAAACCCCAAAGGCTGCACCATAGCACAGGTCGGGGGTACACGGTCCCCATTTTTGCCAAACTTGGTTTTTTGGGGTTTACGTGTCCGGCTGTGGTGTACTTATATTTGAGTATACATTTATTTAAGCATTTCCTATCAATAAAGTATACTCGTGTTTGTTGAGAATTGAAATGCGTGTTTGTTTCTTGGTTGTCCTCATATAAAGTTAACTTCCAATGGTAAGCTTCCCCCCCGCCCCCCACCCCTCCAATTATAGACCCATCGTCCAGTGAGCAAAAAGATACATCCGGTTTTTAGCCTCCTCGGATATATGTCCCTTCGTTTCCAAGCACTACCCCCCCACCTCCTACTTCAAATTAAAAACCCTCCAGTTGTAGGCCAACTGAAATCTCTTCGTTCAAAGCTTGTTTTTATTTCGTCCAGGGCTTCTAATACATTTACTTGAGTATTAAGATAAGTCATTTTTGCTGCACTTTTTCATATAACTTTTACTTTATTCTCATGTATTTTAAATTAATTGCTTAGCTATTATCAATGAATTTATGTATATTTTATAAACTATTTTATTCTTTTAGAAAAATATAAAATATAGTTCATTATTTGTATATATGTTATATGGGGTGCATAGAGCTAAAATACCTGGCTAAGTAAATATGTTATCTAGATTTGTCCACGTTTCTGCTGTATATCTCGTCCTAAACAACCTGTAAAAGCCCTGTGTCTGTCAAGTGATGGACGATCAATTTACCGACAAGCTTGACTGATTGCTTTCACTCCCTTTGTTTTATTTGATGCAAGAGCTGTGGTAATTTCACGTTTACGGTGACCACAAATTGACTAAAATCATGCAGCCACGTAGAACTACACTACACACAACTTTCCATCAGGAAATGATAACAAGTTCATTTGCCTCCAAAATATTATCGTATATTAAACAAAAACGCAGGGCAGAAGAGGGTGACACCTTAGCTTGTTGCGTCTTTCGCCAACTTTGCAGCAAAATAAAGCACTGTTCGCAGGTCCGCCAACGCAATTAATTTATAACAGCCCTATAAAAGAGTGCGAAGTTTTAATTTCTCCATGAGTGAGGACAAAAGCTATTTAATGATTAGACCCTTAGAAACGAGAACGATTAGCCTAATTGGTTTAGCAGAATCTGACTGGCACACTAACTTCGAGTCTATAAAAAGTATTGGTAAAATCGTGAGAAAACAAGCCTTTCTTTACACAACTTGAATTCCTAATAGGGTCGTTTCTTTCTCACAAATGGACAACTAAATTTGCAGTTTTTTACTTTAAAATCTTCACTATTTCGTATTTTGTGGCGGCTTAAGTTCTTTCTAGGATAGCATCATCAACTCATTTCTCCACTTCTTCCTTCGATCCGGGGTCGTAACTTCAGGCAAGTGAGGTGGGGAGGCCTAATTCAGGCCTAGTTCAGGGCCGCCTCAGGGGCTCATACTGAGTCCCATGACCATCTTGTTCCTCATTAATCCCTGTCGAAGCACCCTCTGGTAGACCTTTAGACTGGTGCACCGGTGTCTGGTACACAGGTGTCCCAGGATTCTTTTTGTTTAGGGTGTGGTACACAGGGCAGTTCTCATAGCTACCTTCAGCCTTGTTGTATGTTGCTGCCAAGTTACTTTGCCCTAGAAAAGAGACAAGCTTATTCAGTACCAGAAGGGCGAATCCACGCCAGTGACATAGAGCTGAATCAGCAAACGAATATAACTTGTGCTAAATTTTCAATGACCCATTCATTTATGAACACTTCTTTGAAATTTCAGTTGTGGTGCAAATGGTGAAATGCCCTTCTGCAAAAACTAAGAGTAATCGCCGACATTAAAAATTCAGCAAAAGGACCATAAAACAAATGGGTTTCCATGAAAGCAACAACAGAGCACAATACTACAATTTTTATTGACCAAACTAATAATAATATTTTTATGAATTCATGCGCAGTTGTTTATGTATATATTCGTACATTAATTTGCGCAACATCAAAATAAATTAAGTTAATACACCCTCTTATCTGAGTAATGTAGCACCTGTTCGGAAGAGAAGTCACCAATGGTGCCTTACCCTGACCCCAAACAATACTAAAACAATTGAAAGAATAAAATATCATTGTTTCCTGCGACCAATTAGGAGAGACCTGGTGAGCAGCTCCTACGTACACTAATCTCTTATCTGTGTTGATGCCCTTTTAAAATTTGTAACAATTTAGTAGATGCAATGGCTGGTTTGCAAGTAATGTAACGTTGACCATCTTGGTGGTCAAGAACAAAAGCGATTCTCTCCTCTGGAAACAAAAATCCATTTCCATGTAAATACCTTGTGAAAAAAAAAAATTCTATCGTATTGACTTCCAACATGGCCGCCTTGTCACTTGGTTGCAAACCAAGAATAACTGGTGATTATTAGGTCATTTATTTCATATACTCATTAAAGATAAATTCATGTGACATAATTTTATTATTCATATTACTATGTTTTCTTGACAATCCAAATTGATAGAAAATCAGTTGCATGGTACACACGATGCAATTATCATAGACATAAACTCACTGTTTTCATTGAGCAAGCCTTGATATGTTGATTGGTCTTCCTGTGCAATAGGTGACGTTCTTGCTTTTGGTGTTTCCAACTGGATCTCATTGCCGGAGTTAGTTGGCTGACCATTAGATTGGTACACAGGTAACTGGTACACAGGTGTCCCAGGATTCTTCTTGTTTAGGGTTTGGTACACAGGGCAGTTCTCATAGTTACTTTCAGCACTGTTGTATCTTGCTGCCACGTTGCTTTGCCCTAGCAAAGAAATCAGGGGGGAAATGTTATTATGGGGTTTTCAGAAAAGTCCCTCCTAAGTCACTAACGGCTTTCTTCTAGGCACCTCTTTATCACTGATAACTTGAAATAGGCGTATCTCAGAACCTCCCGAAGCTCGGGGGAGGAAGCCTGTTAAATTTTAAGAATCGGGGGAACGAGAGAAATATATTAGGTAACTGGGAAGGGCGGGTTTTAATAACGGCTGCAATATTGCAAGTAGAGATATACTCAATCTCCTTTAGGTTGGAGTAAACATGAACTCAGTGCCCTGGCTTTGAAAAAAATGTAGGATTTTAATGGGGTTGGCTATTATTAAAGTAGCGTAGCCAATGCAGGTATTGCATTTACCCTAATCACAGTTTCACATTTCTTCTTCGTGTATGTGCCAAGAAACCTTTTCCATCACAATAAATACATCTATGTTTGATAATTACAAAACTATAAAAAAAATCTGCACTATAATAACTTAATAAGACAAGCACATTAATTAAAATTAAAACAATTAAAAATATAATCTAAAACAATTCAAAATATAATTAGATATAAAAAATGATGAAAAAGCGTTACAAGTGGCAAGGGGATCTTAGCTGGCTTCTTCGTGTGCCCCATACTTTCTTGTGCTCATATTACTTTCAAGCACCTGCTACGCAAGCAAGCCAAAGCCAAATTTATGAGAAATAATTCGTTATTATTATTATTATTATTCTTTCTTTGCAGTCCAAATTGATCTCTAGGAAATCAGTTGTATGTCATGCACATGATGAAATAATCATAGACAAATACTCACTGTTGTCATCAAGCAGGCCTTGATATGTTCGTTGGTCATCCTGGGCAATAGGTGATGTATAACTTTCGTTTGTTGTTTCGAGCTGGATCTCATTGCCTGGGTTAGCATATTCAGGGGTCTCAACTAAGATTGAGCTATAGAAATCCAGACACGTTTGCAACATGAAATATACAGTGGTAAGGACATGATTAACAGCTCTGTAACATTTTAAGAACATATACAACAAATTAAGGGTATTAAATTATATCAATAAGTGTATCAGTTTATTAATTTTTTTAAAGAATAAATGAATAACTTTTAACCTGTCGAGGTTCAGAATTACAAAAAAATGAAAAGAAGTCATGCATGGACAAGCAGTTTATCAAAAGTAATAATCAAGTTTTGTAACCATGCAGTGATTAAGGTAAAGGCCCGGCCTTTTAACACTTGTAGAATCAAGTCGTCAGAGTTAAAGACTATTTCATTAAGTAGAATTGCACGTAAAAATTTGGTGAATATTGATGATGCAACCATCTACAATAACGAAGAAAATTGTGATATTTCTGAGCGCTTCGATATTCGATGAGCCATATTATCTTAGAAACCTTGAATAAACCTTCGAGACCTCCCCTCTTAAAGCAGCGTTTGGTGAGCTGATATCCATTGAACTATAAAAATCAATTTATTTTCTACCAGATGTAAGAAGGAAAGACAGAGAAGGGTGAGTCTACACTATAAGATTCACGTCCTGCACGCAGTGTTTTGCCTTTTCATTCATGTACAGCGATAACCAATTTCGCACCAATAAATAGACTTAATTTAGGATGAAAATAGCAGGACAATCCTGAGCGTCGCGAATCCTTTACTTGGCTCTCTGCCCAAGAAAGAAGTGACAGCTAATGAGAATCCAAATAATGGCAAAAGGAAGTAAGATGAAATCTTGGCAGTGCATGTACATCAACAAGACAATTATTTATCACTGTCATTTAAATGATTCATCTAATTACCCTGGCTTCCTCCGTTTCCAACAAATCACAATGCTCAGGACGACCAAAATTCCAAGAACTACACCACCACCCACAGCAGAACCAATAACAATGCCATTATCATTTCCACTCGTATTTGTTNGTTTATCAAAAGTAATAATCAAGTTTTGTAACCATGCAGTGATTAAGGTAAAGGCCCGGCCTTTTAACACTTGTAGAATCAAGTCGTCAGAGTTAAAGACTATTTCATTAAGTAGAATTGCACGTAAAAATTTGGTGAATATTGATGATGCAACCATCTACAATAACGAAGAAAATTGTGATATTTCTGAGCGCTTCGATATTCGATGAGCCATATTATCTTAGAAACCTTGAATAAACCTTCGAGACCTCCCCTCTTAAAGCAGCGTTTGGTGAGCTGATATCCATTGAACTATAAAAATCAATTTATTTTCTACCAGATGTAAGAAGGAAAGACAGAGAAGGGTGAGTCTACACTATAAGATTCACGTCCTGCACGCAGTGTTTTGCCTTTTCATTCATGTACAGCGATAACCAATTTCGCACCAATAAATAGACTTAATTTAGGATGAAAATAGCAGGACAATCCTGAGCGTCGCGAATCCTTTACTTGGCTCTCTGCCCAAGAAAGAAGTGACAGCTAATGAGAATCCAAATAATGGCAAAAGGAAGTAAGATGAAATCTTGGCAGTGCATGTACATCAACAAGACAATTATTTATCACTGTCATTTAAATGATTCATCTAATTACCCTGGCTTCCTCCGTTTCCAACAAATCACAATGCTCAGGACGACCAAAATTCCAAGAACTACACCACCACCCACAGCAGAACCAATAACAATGCCATTATCATTTCCACTCGTATTTGTTCCCTTGTCACCTGGGCCACTACTGGTGGCAGAACTAGAAGACACTGAAGTTATAATGGCCTAAATAGGACAAAAAAATAACATCTAGTACGTACTACATTTAGTCAGATTATTTTCCGATTGCCCAATGGAGAATGAAATTTTTAATAGTTAATTTTTGGTTCACCACTGATGATTTGTATACTTAATTAAGAATCACTGAGAAGGTCAGCTTACAGATCAAGAGGTCACAGATCCTCTCCTACCAAGTCACTTGTATAGTGACAAATAGATGTATTGATTGATATAAAATAAAATGTTATCCTTCCTTGATAGGGAGAGAATTATAAACACAGACCTACCTTTGATGGTTTGGCTTTTATACTAGTGGATTGGTGTGGGATTCCTGTGGGTAATGTTGTTGGGGTAGATAATTTTGCAGTTGGAATTTGCGCAGATGGGAGATACAAGGAAACTGAACGTGACACTCCTGATGTTATTGTACTTAGAATCCCAATTAAAGATGGTGATGGTAACAATGGAGATGACGTGAACAATATTGGTGATGATAGTGGTAGATGTGATAACAGTGATGACTGACCAGTAGTTGGTGATAATGATGATGGTGATGATGATGATGATGATGATGATGATGATGATGATGATGATGCTGCTAAGTATGATGGTTGTATAGATGGTGATAAAGAGGGTGGAAGAGGTGATATCACTGATGACGATGAAGAAAACGACATAGATACTGTGACTGATGAAGATGATGATGAAACAGTAGGAGTAGGTGGGGCATAATCTGTAACGAAAGACAAAGTAAAAAGAAAGAATTAACAAATTTGTTGTCATGAGTTTTCAGACAAGATACTTTTATGCTAATATTATCGGGCTGCCTGTGGTAAAACCCAAATCCAATTCTGTGTTTTGAACTGAGCAGTCTCTGATGCAAAAAGATAAAATGCTGAATGGATCACCCAGAAGGTAATGTATCTGTCCCTTCTCAACTATGGGTCTAATCATTTGACTTTGAGGGATCCGAGGGGTAGGGCATTTCAGATTAATAATAACTCTGACAGACAGAAAAACAGAAACATAATTGCTTGGAGTTATTAATTACAAAAAGTCCATATAGTTGTGGCCTTGTGAGAGAGTCAGTTGTGCGACAAATGGTTTCAGTATGTACTGGTTTTCTTTAAACAATTATCATTAATTCATACTCTGTTGATGTCAAGAGTGATTCAAGTACATTTTAAATTAATGAACTCGCCAGTATACATTATATCAGGAAAAATAATGGTGACAAATGCTTCTGTTTAAGGTAACGTTTTCATTGAAAAAAAAAGATAACTCGATCCAAGCTGGAGAAAACCTGTCTTTAATTAAAAGAAACTGTTAGGATGTCACCAACAAATTAAAAAGAAAGTGTACTTACAAGTGACAGCTCCTTTTGCTTTTATAAGGAAACATGGTGTTGAGCTTGAACCTTGTGCATTGGTACAAGTGATAGGAATACGGATGACCCTGCCAGACAGTGTTCCATTGCTGTCTGCTTTCCACTAGAAGATAAAAGACAGCTGAGACCTTATATTGTACACAGGGTTTATGACAGTGTCAATCAAGTTAGGTATGTATTTGTTTTGTAATAGTTACTGCGACCCTTAATTGATAAGAACACGTAGATGCTTTACAAGACAAGGCTAACAACTATTGATCACCTGATCCTCTGAACTGGATCAAGAAGGTGGTAATCACAGCCACCATAAAAGCCAGGTTGGTGGTCTGATGAGGGATTAAACCGCCGAAGACCAGTAATAGATTGCAGAGAAAGCGCCCACCTACCCCTCCCCTATTAAAAGCCAACACTCATTTCTTACTTAGGGCAAGATGTTAAGTTCTATAGGTGATCGAGGGGAAACTAGGTGGGTAGTTTCTCAGATTTAACTGTGTACTGTCAACTTACAGGTTGGGGGTATGGGGAGTTAATAACTGTGCAGCCCAACATTAGATACATGATTTAACTTTTTGTCAAACAAGATGATGTCAAACATAGTTTGTAATTGCCTCTTAGAACAGGGTGTGATAGGTACTATCTGGAGAGTGTCACTGTATATCAGCTAAAATCCCTTGAAAACAATCGGGCAACCCTTAAACTGACTGCTTGCATAACCATACAAAACAGAACTAACACATCCTTATTAACTTGCATAACTGAAAATTGAGTGAAATAAAATTAAAGCTAAACTGCATTTGGTACTAGCTAGCAGAGTATTACAGTAAATCATTGACTACAGTGCCGTAGCCAGACCAAACGGCCAACCGAGGCAGGTGAGAGTTGCTAGGGGGGTTCGGGGGCATGCCACCCCCCCCCCCCCCCCCCCC